ATACCTCAGCTCAAAGAATTCAAGGCGTCGATCCCTGGCCTGGAATACAAAACCCTGTGTCACGTCCTAGTCATGCATCCCGAGATCAGAGTTATAAGACTCTCTTACGACCCCAGAGTCCTACGGCCTGGACTGCTTTGTCCCACGATTCGCGCGAACGTGTATTTCCCGATCCAGGAGCTGTGGTGCCCGCCTCAGACAGTCTCAACCTTACTGTCGGAGAATCAAAACTGGGACGAGCTATCTGCGATTACACTTGCGCCTGATTATGGGAGTGTTCTACCGGCACAGCATCAATGGGCTCAGTGGCTTGAGGACTGGAATATCTGCTTGCGTGTCATAGGCGGTCGCTCTCTGACACGCCTCAGATTGGTACTGGGAATCCCGGCTTGCCCGTTTCCTTCCAGCGCACCGGCCGTCTCTATCGGAAGCCTGCACGGGGTTGAACACCTGATCTTAGATGTGCGGCACAGTCCCCACCTAATGCATGAAGTACCGGTAAGTACGAACATCAGTGACGATTTCGTACCTACTCAGTCTTTGCTTCTAGGAATACCTGAAGGAATGGCTCTCTTCCCTTACAAGAGTACAGAGCGTCACTCTGGAAGGCCACCCCGAGCTTCGTGACACCAGCCTGGCAGCTTTCCTGAAGATGATGGTTGGCGCCAGAGCCGTAACATGTAGAGCATAGGCATATGAGACCTGGGCCTGATGGGCCCGGGCTTCGTCTGTAACATGCCTTATATCTTTTCCTTATTCCACAGAGAGAATCTGTTCGCTACCACCTTGTTATGTCTTCCAATATGTAGCTTATGACTACTTATGAATACGAAGTTCAACACAAACTGCAAGCAGGAGAGTGAGATGATACATCGAATCTCACCAAGCTTACAACAACTTGAAATGCAAAGGCGCATTCAAAGATATATTCCCAGGAGAGGTACATAACCATGGTGTGTATAGTGATATTACGGATGCAGTGGATGCGATACAAAATATATGAGCGTGTCAACCAAGCTGAAGTCTCTGGAAGCTGAGCGGAGCATGCTGGCGACTAAGGCAGTTCGGACAGTACTTAGCCTCTGCAGTCCCTACCCCAGTGAATCGATTGCCTGCGGAACTCCTCTCCAAGTCCAAGATTTTATGCTCGCAAAACTCGTCAGCGAGCAATTCCCTGAGACATGCGAGCTCGTCTCTCATACTTGGAAACGGCGACTTCCACTGCTCAGCTGTGGTCATTCATCGATTTGAGCTGGGAGAAACCAATAATGTTATGGCACCTCCGCAAGTGTGCTCTTGCCAATGGTATTATCTTTGCTGCTGCAGGTGGAATCAGCGGGAGACCTTGAACCTCAAGGAAGGTACAGTAGAGCTCGCAATTTCGCGTCTGCTTCTGCATTCCAAACTCAGCGGCACTGCGCGGTATGGCGCCACGTGTACCCAGCATTTATAAGTTCGCGTCGACTCAGCCGTCACCTTTCTTCAGGCCTTTTGGCCATGGAGGCCCCCATCTATTATTCCAAGTCTGAGTTCATAGAAACTGTAAGGCGATAGTACTCCAGCCGTAGTAGTGTCCATACTGACGCGTTTACAGGACACAGGCAACAAGGTTTCGCGACGCGCTACCATCGCTGGTCCCCAAAATATCATACTGGGCGGGAAGACCGTAATCTCTACGGGTGCTATCATTCGTGGCGACCTGAGGAGAACAGGGCCTGGACATGCTGTCGTGATCTCCCTCGGGAGGTACTGCCTGGTTGGGGAGGGTTGTGTGATGAGGTGAGTCGCTGAAGAAAATTTTCATGTGTTCGTTGGTCGATGTTGATCTTTTCAGGCCGCCGTATAAGACGTACCGCGGGAACTTTAACTACTACCCTATGAAGATAGGAGATCACGTTCATATCGGTGCCAACTCGGTTGTCGAGGCGGCTACTATAGGGAACCATGTTGAGATCGGTAAAAATTGTGTCATTGTTAGTGACCACTAGGTATCCTTTCTCTCCAAGTCGTAGTTGACCAGTCCTCGGTATCTAGGGAAAGTTTACCATCATCAAAGACTGCGCGAAGATTGCCGATAATACCGTGATTCCTCCGAATACTGTTATACCCGCTCTCTCGCACTTTGCCGGTTCGCCGGGGCGATATGTGGAGGACATGCCCGAGTCCACGATGGAAGTTGTTGAAGCACGAACTAAAGGATATTACCGACGCTTCATGCCGTTTGAAGGTCGGTAGTTTGCGTGGCTTTCACGAAAGCCTCCTACGGGCTGGACGAGATGTTCCCCTCAGTGAGATACCGGGCTGTAACAGAGTACGTGATTCGTTTCATGGGCGTCGGGATTATTACATATTACTGAGTGTCTTCGTAGGCTGTATGAAATCGTGAATCCCATGTTAGAGAGACACCACGTGCCTGATAGGATATGTTCACGATTCATTGTAGTTCTAATCCAGTCAAGTATGTCTTCTGGTAGTTACTGTCGACAACAGGGCACTGACATCTTGTCTTTCCACAGCTTATCACTTGTCCTGTTTTGGGCGGCGGCTTGCATGTGTTGTCCAGCGGCTACAGCTCAACGCTCATAGCTGTCGTTGATAATGTGAGTTTGTCCTCCAAGCCTGGTTTTTCATGATGAATATATGTTGCTGCGTTCTTTCGGAATTATCCTTGACGACACCCAACATTTTAACCCATGTCTTCTGAGCTTCGTATCGTTCGCCTTTTGTGTCCGACGCTAAATCAATTGCTGTAATCTAGGACTTCGGCCATGACACGGACGTAGATAGGATTGCTCTGATGACGCATTCAAGTAAGCGTCGTGTTTGTCACTGCATTGGGTCGTGAAGGGTTGCGAGTGCTGCATGATGCATCGATCTAATTATTAACCAGACTCTGATGTGCGTCAAAGACGTGGAGATGAGTCATGATCACCACCTTCTGATTCCGCAGTGGTTGCATTTTTGGTGGATGGCTGCTTGGCATTGACAACTGCTGACTCGATTACGGAAGTTCCTCAAGTGCTCTGCAAGGGTTGTGACCGGCGAAAGCTTCCCAGGTGAGTATCGTTTTCGCAATCGCTTCATTAACGAGATGAGAAAGCTTTCAACGGCGCACATATGCGTCTCCTATGGAGGCGTTGTGATGACCGTGAAATGTTATGTACCATCAAATTCTGAATTATATCTTGGTTACCCTCTGATTTAACTCTCCTACTGATATATCTATTTTATTAGTACTGTCGAGCGCGTCTTGTAGCCCGGCCGCACAGTCGGGTGGTCTGCGCTCGGGATGTTTTGTACCACTATTCAGTAACGTTGTGCTTGTACCTCATCGAGACGGCGCCTAGATTAGATGGGAGTCTGGACGCCTTCTCGATACGGTACAACACTGTCATGAGGACCTCCAACCTATCACTCGGTACCATCGAGCGAATGGCCAAAGCTGAAACTGCAATCCTGCGTACTTGCGCCGTACAGACCGCGAGTCTAGCATGTGTCGCAAGGTATTTCTGGACATTTCTGCCTGCTATCGGGAGGCGATAACGGCGATACCAGCGTATCCCTTTGGAAGGACAGGTCGTGCTTGTGCCAGGTGACTCTCCGGATTCGTCTGGGTCGTGCAAATGGGTGGGCAGAAACAATGACATCGCCGTCGGACCCCGGACAGCCGTGCCCACGGGGCGTTCTTGTGTGAGTGTTTCGCTTCATGTTGTGCTCGGACCCGGCTGCTTGAAGTGTCGATGTGACTCCAAATGAGTGTTTGCTTGGCAACCTGCGTGTTGCTTGCCATGCTTCGGCGTGGCCGGGCTGTACCGACGTGCCAGTGCCACTGTCAAACGTTGGATGGATGGGTCTTGTAGACGCTACACCCTGCACCTTTGGGCTAATCTGTCCCTCCAGGACAAGCTGGACATATCCATGTCTCCTTTCTGGTCCTTGCTACCTCTGACTTTGCCAGACTTACATTCTGCAGCGGAGCCTTATCCTCTCCGCGCTGGACGAGGGCTGAGACAAGCGTTCGGATTGAAAGAATAAAGGCTGCATCCTGTTATCTATATCCTGTATAGTCATCTCTGTAATGGAAGCTCGATTGTAATTAACGAGAAAATGCGATAACACTGATCAGGACCTGACGCAGGCCACGCTGTTGTGCGCTTCTCCAAATACCAGTAGAGCCCTCTGGCCTTATGTCAGCCTATTTCAGCCTGCTCAAGAGTAAGTCGTGCATTGGATTGTATTGGCTCTGCGTGCTGCCTTCGGCGTGGCAGGTCTCACACCCTCTTGCTCGCCTTAGGCTGTGCTTCCCCCGCGCTCTCCCTCGAAATCGTCTATGTCAATGGGGCAATGTCTAGTAGCTTTTGTCTTCATTCGGTAATATTATGTCAATGATTGGTCAAATTTATCAAAATGAGGTGCATTGTCGGTGAGCAGCGTGCAGCATCATTGTGCAGCCGGCGGGGCTAGGGGTGTCCGGGGTCCCGTTTGTGACGCCGAATGTTTTACAGCAGTCGCACGGCGCCGGGCATACATCTTTCGTCCTTACTATTAGGACTGGATTGAGCGGATCGCTACAGACAGCGTCCGACCGTCTTTCTCGCATCCACTTCCAACTTGCGACCGTTTGTTCGCCTGCTGGCAGGTCATATTTACGACCGACCCACGCGCGCGACGTACTCTATCTGACAAATCACCGCAAAAACCAAAAATTCGTGAGTCGTTGTCGATCAGCGGGCGTGCGGCCAATTGCTGACGATTTTTGGCGATTTTATTCTGTCTAGGATGAGCAAAGTTTCCTCCAGTTCACAATCGAAGATTCCTCCCCAACTTCCGTCAAAGTCAGCTTGGGCACGGGGACCCCCTCAAAGCACTTCGTCAGCTCCTTCACCGCGAACTCAGTCGCCCGCTCCATCGAGCGCAACCCCTCCAGCCACTGCGACCCATTCTAGACGTCCTAGTGCTCTCACTGGTCAGGGTGTGTCGATCAAGGATGGTGTATCTGTACCACGGAGTAGTGCTAGTGCCGTCAAGCAAGGTAAGACTGCCGGTAGAGATATCTTGCGCAAATGGGCTCATTTTTTCAACAGGTTCATCGGTTACCTTTGGATCGATAGACGACGCGTCATCGGCGCCCATCTCCTCCTCCCCCGCCAGTATACCGGCCATCAAGGCCGAAACCGTAAAATCGTTTGGCACGGTTCCCGCGTCGCCGTCAACGACACAGGCGAATGGCAAGTCGCCAGTAGGGTCCGTACGGACGGCCGCGAACGGCTCGTCAGGCGCGACACACGCGTCAAAGCCCATCAGCAAGGCCGACATATCCAAACTGTTCCAAAATCCGAGCTCGAATTCCTCGTCGCCCGCTGTATCATCGCCGCCTCCGACGTCCTCTCCCTCTGTAAGACCATCCTCGTTACCCCAGCAGACGCCGCCTCAAGGCCCGCAGCATCCGCCTTCACAGCCTTCGCAGCTAGGCGCCGGCTCGTATACCCCCTTTACACCAAGCGCACAATTTAGAACACCTACGACACCTGCTAATGGACCTGGCCAACCTCCTCGCTCGCCCGTGTCCTTCAGACCGATGACGAACGGGGCTGGGGGCGCTGGCGCTCGGCCGTCGACGGGTCCCACTTCTCCTCCCGGTCCTCCTCAGGCTATGCCCGCGGCTATGCCTAGCCCTCGTATGACCCCTCACCCGCACCCTGGGACACCTGCAGGTTTGCCGCCCGGTACACCCGTCGGCTGGCAGCCTTACTATGTAAGACTTATCTTTTTCCGTAGCGTTTCAGAGCAGACGAACTGATTTGGATACCTACAGTACTCGTACATGCCCGGACTCCCTCCGGAACACTACATGCCCCCGTACTCTCCCCATGGCCAGTGGCACATGCCGCCGCAAGGCTTTCCTCCTCAACAGCATCATCCGCAAAGCCACCTCTCTCATGCTCCTCCTGGTCCACCCGGGCCGCCCCATATTATGCCTATGTCTCCCCGTAATCCCCCTCCGCCACTCCAAGGGCCGGGCACCCCCACCCCTGCCCATGCCCTTCCCGCCCAACATCAACCCCCCTCGAGCAGCGCGAGCTCCATCTCCTCTCCTCCCGCGACCCCCGCTTCCCTCGGACCTGGGCCTCCCACCGGTAACGCGCGACTGAACACGGGTGCCAGCGCATTCGTGCCTAGACAGTCGAAGGTCGTGATCAAGGCCGCAGACGGCAAGGAGGTGGACTTGCAGGAGCTCAGGAAGCAACAGGCGCAGGCCGGAGGGCCCGTCGCGCCGCCGTCGCCTGCCCCCAGCCCGCGGCGCAACATCGTCCGCATGGAAACCGAAGAGGCGAAGAATAAGCGGCTTGCGGAGGAGCGCGAGAAGGAGAGGCTGAAGAAGGAGGAGGAGCGCAGGAAGAAGGAGGAAGCTGAGGAGAAGGAGAGGAAGGAGCGGGAAGAGGAGGAGCGGAAGAAGAGGGAGGAGGAGAAGGTGAGGCAGGAGGAGGCGCAGAAGAAGAAGGAGGAAGAGGCGCGGATACGCAAGGAGGCGGAGGAGGAGAAAGAGCGGATACGCAAGGAGGAAGAGGAGAAGGAGCGGTTGAAGAGGGAGGAGGAGGAGCGGATACGTAAGGATGAGGAAGAGAAGGAGCGCATCAAGAAGGAGGAGGAACGCGTGCGCCTCGAGGAGGAAGAGCGGATGCGCAAGGCTGAAGAGGAGGAACGGCTTCGTAAGGAGGAAGAAGAGAAGATGCGCAAGGAGGAGGCCGCGAAGGCTGAGCCTCAGCCGGCGGAAGAGGCCAACCCTCAGGAGCCGGAGATGGAAGATGGCGAGGTCAAAGAGGACGCTCCCGCTGCTCAAGAGAGCAAGGAGCCCAAAGATTCCAAGGCGAAGGAGCCCTTACGAATTGACACAGCCCTCTCTTCTCCAGACGTCAAGCGCCGTCCCGGACCTCTCGACCTATCTGGAGCCCGTCAGGCCACTATCCCGCAACCTCTGCCTTCCGCTCTCGCAACGGCTCGTATCATCGAGGACTTGGGTAGCGTCACGTACCCGGAGGGTATCCAGAGCCCCAAGCCTGAGCTCAACGCGAACGCGAAGGGGGGCAAGTTCAGGTTAGCTTTTTCTTCTTTTCGCTGGGTTTGCTTTCATCTGATGTAATTTATAATAGGTATGACCGTGACTTCTTGCTGCAATTCATGTCGATCTGCAAGGAGAAGCCAGATCATCTCCCGCCTTTGGACGCTATCGGATTGGAGCCCGTTGGTCCTGACCACTACATGACCCGAGGTGGCTCCGGGCGAGGTAACAGGTCCTCCTCGATGGGAACTCCTCCGCTTATGCGCCAAGCTTCTGTTGGCCTCGGTATCTCCAATTTCGGCAAGCCCGGTGGCTTCGCTATGGGTCAGTTTGCCACTCCGTCAAGCAAACTCTCGAGTGAGGAGCGTTTCGCCATGGCCAACAGTGGTCGGGGAGGTGCCGCTGGTGCGTCAGCGTTCGGTGGTCGTCCTCCTTCGATGTCGCGTACACCCAGTCAAGGCGGACCAGGGTCTGGCTCAGGACGTACTCGCAGCCATCGCGGGAACAAGAGACCAGAGAAGAATGCTGGAGGTCCCGGCGGTTCCTCAATGTCCTCGTTCCAGCACATGCAGCAGAATATGGGACCGCCGCTGGAGCCCGTCGCCCCACTTCAGTCGACTGCTAACCGCTGGACACCTAACAGTCTCACTCGCAAGCCGGTCAACGAGGACTCGCCGGAGATCGTGGACCGGAAAGTCCGTGGTTTGCTCAACAAGCTCACCATGGAGCGCTTCGAGTCTATTTCGAACCAGATCATCGACTGGGCGAACAAGTCCGAGAAGGAGAAGGACGGCCGTACGCTCATCCAGGTGATCCGTTTGGTCTTTGAGAAGGCGACTGACGAGGCTGCTTGGTCGGAGATGTACGCGCGCCTCTGCCGGAAGATGATGGAACAGATCAGCCCTAACGTCCAGGACGAAGGCATCCGGAACCCTGAAGGCAAACCTATAACCGGTGGTCAACTCTTCAGGAAGTACTTGCTCAACCGTTGTCAAGAGGATTTCGAGCGTGGATGGGCGGCCAAGGAGGCCTCTGCTGCCGCTGCGAAAGGTAAGGCTTCAGAGGACGCCGCCACGGCCGCTGCCAACGAAGGCAAGGAGGGTGATGAAGCTGCCCTATATTCTGAGGAGTACTATGCCGCTCAGAAGGCCAAGCGTCAGGGTCTCGGTCTCGTGAAGTTTATCGGCGAGCTGTTCAAGTTGCAGATGCTGACGGAGCGTATCATGCATGAGTGCATCAAGAAGCTCCTTAGCAACGTGGACAACCCTGAAGAGGAGGAGATTGAATCCTTGTGCCAACTGCTCACGACCATCGGCCAGATCCTCGATACGCCGCGAGCCAAGCAGTACATGGATATCTACTTCACCCGGATGAAAGAGCTGGCGAAGAACCCGAAGGTTTCGTCCCGTATGCAATTCATGTTGCAGGTGCGTCATCTTGATATGGTTGTTTCCGAGAATCGTCCTAATCATCTTCTCTTACTAGGATGTCATCGAACTGCGGGAGCGAAAATGGATTCCTCGAAACGCTCTGGCAGCTCCGACTACGATTGCCCAGGTCCATCAGCAGGTAAGTTATCTCTCAAGTTTTCCGGATCCGTGGCTCATCTCAACGCATCTGTCCCAGGCTGCAAGAGATCATGCTGTTGCCGAACGAGAGTCTGCCCAGAAGATGAACAACATGTCGCGTGGCGGTTCTCGTCGTGGTCAGGACCGAGGGGAGCAACAGCAAGCTGATGGATGGACGGCTGCTCGTCCGGCCAAGGCTGGTGACCTCTCTAACTTCGGGAAGATAAGCAAGCCGGCTACCATGACTTTCGGCCCCAGCGGTGTCTTTGCCGGGAAGAACAAGGAGAGTAAGCGGGACTCGACGATATCGCGGTCGGCATCCGGCAACATGTTCTCCATGCTCGAGAATGCTGAGGCTGCGCAGGCTGCGGCCAAGCCTAGTCGGCCCCCTAGTCGGAAACCCAGTGTCGACCTCTCACAGACAGGGCCACCGACTGAGCAACCGCAACAGCGAAGACGTCTTCAGCTACTGCCTCGATCTAAGCCTATACCTGGCGAGGATGCGAAAGACGAGACACCGTCTGCTTCCCGCGCTGGATCTGATGATGAGGAAGACGGTGCCGATGCAGGACCCTCCATGTCAGAGGAGGAGGCCAAGCGGAGGATCGGCGAGGACTTGCAGGAGTTCTTCGCCATTCGCGATCTGGACGAGGCCGAGCAATACTTCACGAAGCTTCCACAAGAGCATCGGTTCCGCCTGGTGGATGCATTGGTCACGAAGGCGATCGAGGCTAAGCAGGCTGACGCTGAGCTCGTTGCTGGTCTCTTCAGTCGCGCTGCTGAGAAGGGTCTGTGCACACCAGCCGCATTCGAAGAGGGCTTCATGCACACGGCCGAGTTTATTGATGATATCGCCGTCGATGCACCCAAGGCGCTGGATCTACTCGCCATCATGATGAAAGGAGCTGGTCTGGACAAGGAAGAAGAGCGGCGCGATCGCATTGTGAATAAATCCATGGACAAGGACAAGCTCATCTCGTTATTGTCATCATAGTAGATATCGCTGCGCATACTGTACATTAGCGTTTATTTTATTAGGCTCTCTTTCTGTTGCATTTTCATCGTCGTGTTTCATCTGCAGTGGTCTTTCACTTCACGCTTTCAATATATTCATTCTTGGCTCTAGGCCAGCGTGTACTTACACTCGCGATTACACTTGGCTGTCTCGTAGATTCAGTCCTCAGGCATGGGTTGGCTCGCGCTATGTAGGTATGTTTCTGTCGTTGCTAATGATTTAGTGGACGTGATGCGTCAATGTCATCCTGAAAGGCTGCTCGCCTGCGAGGAGTCTAAGGCTCCCTTTCTAATCATCATATGACAGCTTCAATGCTGGACCTTGGACATCGTAGGTGGCCGTTGCCGCTATCGAACAGAGCTCAGACATCTTAATATTGACAGGTCTATTCTAGTGCGCCTCGAATTTGCAAATTCGGGGGGTCGTAGGACCTTCAAGCCAATCATGTCTCTTGATTAGTCCCTGTGTACGTCCACTATTGAATGGAGGCCAAGCTGCGCAAGAGATTGACCTACACAGGCGGAGCCAATCCCCTGTACATAGAGGTCATCGGACGGACGCCAGGAGTGCCCCTTTGCTTTGCTTCAATCCGTCGTTCGTCATGCTCGACCGGCTGAAGAGCATTTTGTCGAAAAGGTCGGGGCCAAATGGCGAGGGCACGAGCCTTGGATTCAAGCTGTCCTTGATGGCCGCGCTGTGTATACCGGTCATCCTAGAGACACTTGACTACACTGGCAAGTACCACCTTTATTGGCTGGGCTTAAGGACTTCACACCTTTAATTTCTTAGTCGTGGCCACCGCCCAGCCCCACATCGCCGTAAGTCCATAAAACCTGAAGTCTTCCTCTACTACAATGTAACACTGTGTAACATATAGTCAGTATACAACCGGCTCGATCTCCAGAGGTAGGCCGCAGTTCCTACACACATTCCAAAACTATACGGAGTACCGCCCGCTCGTAGCAACAGGCGTGCGCGCTGCTTGGCTACTGCATTAAGTTCACTTCAAAGGCTTTGGCTTTAGTGGTGTACAGAGAACACCATGTCTCTCCCGTGCTTGCGTTCGGGCGATTGGTGATCCCGTACATTTCCCCAAACTGCTTAGATTGACTTGTCGTACACTCACTTGTCCACAGTTATATTGGGACAGCTTACCTCCTGTCATCAACCGTGTTTATCCCCTTCTTCGGCTCCTTGGCCGATATCTATGGCCGGCATCCAGCCCTGCAACTATCCTTGCTATTTTTCACCGTCGGCAGCGCCCTCAGTACAGGTGCGAACAGCATGCCTATGATGCTTGCGGGGCGAGGCATTGCCGGGATAGGCGCGGCAGGTTTGACTGCTGTACGATTACTTGTCATTCACGACTCGAGCAGGGCGCTCAAGGATGATCTAGGTTGTCCGTATCATCCTGGCGGACTCGAGGTCGCTCGATGACAATAACTGGCAGATGTCCATTCTCATGGTCCTCTACTCCATCGGTTACTGCATTGGCCCTGTCATCGGCGGCGCGCTCATCGCCGTCTCCTTCCGCTGGATATTCGCTATCAAGTAAGTAGTCGGACCCTCCCGACGCCTCTGCTTGCAGGCTGATTTCTTCACCCAGCCTACCCGCATGCGTCGTAGCAAGCGCCGTCGGCTTCCTCCTCCTGCGCAAAAAGACCAAGAAGGGCCGGGCGTCCCAGCAGCTGCCTCACAGCACCGCCGACATGGAGACCTGGTTCGACAAGCTCATGCGCATCGACTGGATCGGCTCCACGCTCTTCATGGGCGGCGGCATCCTGCTCCTGCTCGCGTTGAACTGGGGGTCCACCGAGAGCTGGTCGTCCGCGCAAGTCATCGCGTGCTTCGTCGTCGGCGGGCTGCTCTTCGTCGCATGTGCGGCGTACGAGCTCGTGCTGGAGCGGTACAGGCTGCGCGAGAGCGCCGCGCCGCCGCCGCTCAGGATGCTCTTGGCGGACCCGCTCGTGCCGATGGAGGTCCTCCGCTCGTACGACGTCTGTGCGGTGCTGTACTCGTGCTTCGTGCAGGGGATGGTGATGATGGTCATGTTCTACTTTGTCGCGATTTTCATGGTGATTGTGACGGGCCTCTCGCCGACTCAGGCGGGTGTGCAGCTCATTTACTTTGCTCCTGGAATGGTCAGTCTGTTAGCGCGGTTGTCGGTTGTATGAGGCTCAATCCTTCCTCCTCCGATGTAGGGCGCCGGATCGATGATATCCATATGGATCACCAAAGTGACTCGTAAGGCACGTAGCGATCCTTCCTGCCTGACTTTGCTTAATTTACGATGGCCTTTGATTAGCCCAGCCGCTCAGTCGTAATCGGCAGCATTATTACCACGGTAGGCCTCGGCCTCGTGTCAATGGCGGTCGAGCAGAATAAGCAGCATCTAGTCGACGGGTGGGTGACCTGCGACTTCTCAGGCTGGAACGATGACTCATCCATTAGGATACTCAGGTTCATGGTGATGACCGGTGCCGGCGTAGGGCTCTGCCTCTCGTCCGCTGTCGTGCACGTCCGGTTCTCGCAGCCGGACGAGCGGCAGGCGGTCGTCACGGCGCTCACGCTCTTCGTGCGTGCCCTGCTCTCCTCCTCCTTGTCCCTCCTCACATCTCCTCTCGCACCAGATGCGCTCGTTCGGGGGCACCGTCGGCCTCGCGCAGTGCGGCGCGGTCATGAACGCCAAAGTGTCGTCGCACATCGCGCACGCGATCATATCCGGGCAGCTCGATCCCGCGGCGCTCGGCGGGGCGTCGCTGGACACGAGCGGGGGGCTGTCGAGCGTGCAGGGCATCGACGCGCTGCCCGCGGCGGCGCAGGCGGTCGTGAAGCGCGCGTTCGCGGTCGGGACGCAGTACAGCTTCATCTCGCTGGTGCCGTGGGGGGGCATCGCGGTTGTGCTTGCGCTGTTTTTGCGCCCGATACCGGATACGGATAAGGAGAGGAGGGACGCGGCGGCGGAGGCTAAGGAAGGGGAGAAGGAAGGGGATGAGGAGACACCGGCAAAGGGAAGCGAGAAGAGTGCCGAGCAGAAGCCGGTGGGATGGGGTGAGGAGGGTGTCGACGAAGAGAAGCCGAAGGAGGTAAACAAGGCACAGCCTGAAGTGAGGAGGGACGACCTTCAGGCGCCGGTTTAAACACCATACCTCTGCGTAGAACCTTTTCTTGGGATTTAAATCATGATCACGACCATTGGCAGCTCAGTCATCACCCGTACGATAAAGCAGTACTCATACACACAAATTTATAATTACCTTCTTTAGTCGCGCCTCCCCACTATGGTTTCTACTCATCTTCCACTTGTGAAAGACTTGCGTTTGTCTGCTTAGGCTCCAAACCCCACCCTGTCCAACGATCCCTCACGTCGGCCTTGCCCTCCGGTACTTTCACACCCCAAGTAATAGCATAATGACCCAGCACGAGCTCCAGCTCTTCAATCTCATCCAGCATCTCAAATCTCGATATTCTGGGACGCGCACGTCTATCAGCGGTGCTTATGCAACGAGGGATGAGCTTACCGTTCAGCCTCTTCACGGCTGATGTACGCCCGCCGGATGTCACGCAGCGTCAACGCGCGAGACATGGTGAAGCCGTGCTGGAGGAATCGGGCGGGGAGCGAGGCCTCCGTTGGGTAAGGGACCGCGCCTGGAAGAGAAACTCCGCGGGCCTATAATATGCAAGCGTCAGCTGGGGAGAGATCACCGCAAAGTCGCGCTTACCCTGAGGTTCTCGTGCATGACTTTCCCGAAGGAGTCCTGCAGGCCGAACATTTCATAGACGATCCCGCCGAGGATGCCGGAGCATTGGTCGACGAACCACTGGATGAGCGCGTGCGAGGCCTCGGGGGACATGTACACGAGGACGCATTCGAAGAGAAGGAGGGTCGGCAGGGAGGGGGATAGGAGGGAGAGCAGGGGCGCGAGGGTCTCTGAAGGTGGCTGGCGGAGGTCGGCGGGTAGGAGGTGGTAGATGGGCGAATGCAGAGCCGTGCCACCGCTCCCTGGAGCAATTGCAATGAGTAGATCTTTACAGAAAAATTGCGAGAACACGCACCCAGCTTGATGTCTTCGGGCGAACCGAGAACGGCGCTGAGGTCCCTGCTCTTCTTGATCGCCATCGCCTTCTTGGTCGTCACCTCGGCGAAATCAACCTCGAGATATTTCGCTAGCCGCCCCTTCCTGGGACCCGTCTTCCTATACATCATTGGAACCAAGACTCAGCAGCCACGCGAAGTGAACCACTAACCTCGATCCTCCAGAACCGCGTGTCACTCCCCGCACCCAGGCTGACGACCTGCGCCTTCACGCCGTCCTCCTGGGCGAGGTCGAGCCAGCGGTTGACGAGCTCGTCGATGCCCTCCGATCGGACGTACGTGCCGACATTGGTCAGCGGCGGGCGGGGCTGCTGCAAGTGTGCGCGCGGGACGAGCGCCTTGACGAAGGGGTCGTGGAGGTAGCCTTTCTGCACGGCGGAGAGGCGGGCACCGGCGGCGTCAGTGTCGGTCTGGCGGATGGCGGCGTCGGCGTCGCGAGCGTTGGCAGGGGGATACATGCTTGGGAGAGTGCGACGAACGCGAGACTTGGAAGGCCCAGCAGGATTTCCGCCACCGGTAAGGCGTTGAATCTAAAGTCAGCGGCGTTGCGGTCATTACTGCATTTGGGAGGTGCGTGCGAAAACCGAGGGCTTGCACCGAAGATTCACGGCCAATTTCCGCCACCGTCATCTCTGCCGACGCCAACGAGGCCTCTGCCAACGACTCCCAGCCATGGCTCTACCAATGGTGGCTCCAGTATTCCCTGCAGGGAGGGAGCCTCTTCCCCCAGGCATATCGGAGGAGGAACGACAACAGATGGAACAGATGAAGAAATGGCAGAACGTCATGACCTCCGGCATGGAGTCCTGCGTGGTCAAAACCGCGATCGCGGGCGGCGGTGGTAAGTGCAGCGATCCTTGCAGCACGCGCGGTATGGAATGTCGTTTGTAGAAATAGTTTCTTGCATGTAGGGTTTGCGCTGGGCGGGTTGTTCTCGCTCATGCAGGCGTCGTTCGCGTACGAAGATCCTATCCTGAGGCAGCAAGCGCAAGCAGGGTGGAGTCAGAAGCAGAAGGCGGCGGAGGTGTTCAAGGAGATGGGAAGGAATATGTGGAGGAGCGGAAAGGGTTTTGGTAAGGTGGGTGCGCTATTTGCGGGCATCGAGTGTGTGATCGAATCGGTGAGTATGCTGTCCTGGCGTATCAATCGGAGTGTTTAACCATGTCACGTTAGTATCGCGCTAGAAACGACATGGTCAACCCTGTTGCAGCGGGGTTCGTGGCGGGAGGCATTCTTGCGCGAAATTCAGGGCCGAAGGCCGTTCTTGGAGGTGGGCTGGCGTTTGCGGCTTTCTCAGCAGCTATAGATCTGTTCCTGAGAAGGGAGACACCTGAGTACGTCCATAGTCGTTGTTCCTGCTGTAGCCTCGTTGCTCACACCTTTTTCTCCAGGGAGGACTAGACTTCAATTTTGCACTTAATTTATCACCGTATATTGATTACATGGTCTCATACCGTCTAATTGCAACACCCATCTCTTTTGGACTTCTGGACGTCTGAAGGACTTCAAATTTTGTTTGCGTCTGCAACGTTCTATCTGCCTTGACTGGCTCCCAACATTCATGACATTAATGATGTCCCTCTACCTATCTGCTTGGGTTTCAGCACGAACTTACACAAGGTCCTCCCTACTACCGCTCAGGAGCTATGCAAGTGCTGTTCTGTGCTCTCTCCGGAGAAACGTTACCAGATTGTTCCGGTATGATTCTTGCACCTTTTTCTCTGCTGCTGAACGATGCTCCAGCCACAGAGGAGCGAGGCTACCTTCCAGGATGTAGTCACGTAACGCATCACACCGTGAGAATCCATGGGGGGCCATTTTGGTTGACTGGACGCGCCGGACTGTGTTCATTTACGACCAGCACCTGCTGCCTGTCTGCTGTCTTGCGGCATAGTCCCTCGTTTCTTGCGTGCTTTCTCCCGTACAACACATAAGGACCACCTCGCTCGTTTCAGTGGTTCCGCTCTCCTTTGACGACAGTCGTTTATCCCAGAAGAAAAGACAAAAGACTTATCAGCCATGGTCTCCGCATCAGCCGCCCTCTCTAGTCTTTCGCTCGCGATTGCCGCGCTTTCCCCTTCTTCTAACAACCTCGCGGCCGCGGCCGCGTCGCAATCCGGCGCGCTGACGTCGCTCAAGTACACGAACGTCGGCGGGTCTGGCTCGTACCAGCAGGTCACCAACATGCTGCCGGGCACCTTCCCGACGTGCGACGTCAACCCGTCGTGCATCCAGCAGCCGAAGCAGATCTCGGGCAACCTCGCGCCGTTTAACGAGGATCTGACGATGGTCTTTCGCGGACCCATGAACCTGCACAATATCGCTGTCTATCAGCCCGGAAACTCCACTGGCGCCACTTGGTCGCAAGTGAGCTCGTGGGCTGCTGGTGGCTCTGGCTCGAACCTTGTGTTCATGAACAACAAGGGCGGGTCGACGAGCGGTGAATGGTCGAGTACGTGTGAAGCTCCATGGTGTGCCTGGAAGATCTTGCTGACGCGGGTCGTTATTCTTAGTCTGCGGCGGTTCTAGTCAGTCCTACGCCAACGGTGCGTTCACCGATGCTGCCGCTTCTCCCAGTGCAAGCACCTACACCGGTAATCTCCCCGACGGTCAGGAAGTGGTGCGTACCTCTGGTCTTGTCACCAATTCAGGACATTATGTCTGACTACTCTGCTCTAATCTTAGAACATCATGACTTCAACTGCGTGCACGTCCTCCACCTGTGACGGATTCTTCCGCGGGACCGCCAACCTGGGCTGGGCCGACTCCAAGATGTTCGTCATGGAGGTCGAGATGCCCTCGGGCGGGTCGACGCCCCCCGCCATCTGGGCGCTGAACGGTCAAATCGTGCGCAGCGCCCAGTACGGCTGCAACTGCCGCGGGCAGGGCTCGCCCGGCGGCTGCGGCGAGCTCGACGTCGTCGAGGTCATCAGCGGGCAGGACCAGAACCAGGGCATCTCGGAAATCTACTCGTTCAAGGGCGCGACGGGCACGGGCAGCGACGCGTTCTTCTCGCGCCCCGCGAGCGGCACCGCGACGTACGCGGTTATCTTCGACGTCAAGACCGACCAGATTGCGATCCAGCACTGGGACAGCTTCGATTTCTCGACGGGCTCGGTGACCCGGAGTGAGATCGACGGGTACTTGAATGCTGGCGGTAAGGTCGTGTCGTTCCAGCAGTCGAGCTCGAAGCGCAGCGCGCGCCCGCATAACTGGCTGAAGCGCCGCAATTTCTGAGTGTCCTTGATGTTTTGACGTCCCTGCTGTATGACTAACTTATTCATAACTCTCTCCTGCTCACGGTTGCTGTTCATCACTCTGTGTTTGCGCTAGTCGCAGTAGTTGTATCGGTGGTCTCGCCTATCTAGCTGGTCCGAAGGCGAGCTTGTGTATCCGTTCTTATGCTCTTGTTCACGTTGTATCTAGGATAGGATGGATGTATGGAATACATCACAGTGCTATGTGATCTGGTCGGGCAGAAATTAACTTTGTAGTGCACATGGGCATCAACGTGCGTTGGACTGCAACAGAACGGCTAATTACTTGCTTGACTGCGACGGTGGTACGGAAGCGCCGGACCAGGACCCCGTGCACACCTTACAGCAGACCAGCATTTGTGAGTGCTTGAGTTCCACCTCATCATGTTACTTAACCTAGCGAGATTGCGGTTATATCATGTTTATACGTTCGAGGTCGTCTATCGCAGCGTGTTATGGACGATCTCGAGTGTAGGAGCTTGGTGTAACTCAACTCGGTAGCCGCTTCAAAGGGCTCAAGGTAAGTATCGATTGATATTTTCCATATTTGCCCTTGAAACGCGTCTGCATAACCTCTGGCTCATACGTCTGGAAATTCCCCGTACTCGAATCCTATGTGTGGTATGCCTATCTACTGCACAACCTCACTGGCACTCATACGCACATACACTGAGAACCCATTGCCATCAAGGTAGCCTTCCAACTTTGACGCCAGTGTACAATTTTGACGTTGCAGGACACTTTCCTGGTATTGTAGCTGCCTGGTGACGAGGGAAGTAAGATCAGCAGTCTCCTGGGCCCGTTGTCCGTAAGAGGTGTCTCCTGCCCTTAGCTCAACATCCGGCGCCATTCTCTCTCGTCCGGGAAAACTGGTGCGTAATATTGGAGGACTCCGCTTGATGCGAGCTCTTTATACATACTCCACTGCAGTTTTACACAGGCTCCACCCCTTTGATTCTCCTTTGTGTGGTATGTTTGCACGAAATATCGCCAGAGAGCGCCGACTTTTCACCATTGTTGGCTTGTAGCGTCGCGCATGTTGGCAGACATGTATTAGAACATGCATGCATTCACCGAGAGGTATCATGGGTCCCATGCTGCAATTACCATTTGAGACCAAATGTAGGTCCGGCCGGCCACTCACGGTGTGGCAACCCAAAAGCTTAATCGATTGCGAAAATCCAGGCACGACAACTGCCATATGCTGCAACAGGAGGCTGGCCTCTCCATAAGAGGCTGCATCGGCTCAAATTTCCGACATAAAAGTCCTCAGGCAACAACGCTCCCCGTCGCTCTCTCTGTTGCTCGACGTTCACAGCGCTGGGCCTTGTTGACAGAACGAAAAGCAGCACTGACGGACCGAGAAGCAGAACAAGGATCAGGAGGCGCACTAAGATAGCAGTCTAGGTTCGTAAGCGTGCTTATTTATGTCCAGACTGTGGCTCATATCCTACGGTATGATCCTTCTGACTATCTTGGGCTTACAGAGAGCCGTCGACCCCGCACTTCGCAATGGCCGCCACAAGCAAGTCCAAGAACTCGCTGTCCATCCGTTTGACAGAGTCAGTCGTCTTCCTTCGCGCTCCAGACGCCATTGGCAGACGCCGTGCCCAGAATGACAACGCCCCGCCTGCGATGCTGCGCGGGCTCCTGACGCTGAACCTGGTCAAGCCGACGAGGATAAAGAGCATCGAGGTTGAGCTCCAGGGCAAATCGAGCACCGCTTGGCCGGAAGGTAAGTCGCTCTCCAGCTTATCTGGTTTAACAGTGGCCTGAATCTTCAGGCTCGCGGAAACAGGTGTCGGAGCGAGGCGCATTGAGATAACGGAAGAACACAAGATTTACACCGCATCGACGGTCTTCTTCCGTGCGGGCTCGACCCCCGCCTCGTCCTCCCGTCGCACACTCTCGGTGGGCCCAGGACTGTCCCTTTACCACGACGACGAAGCGGTCACAGATACGTTCGGACACGGCGAGCACGCCGATACACCGCGGGGCAGCCCTTCTCGAGAGCCGAGCCGGGAGCGCGGACGTGTGTCCAGGCGGGTGAGCATGGACTACTCGCACTTCCAGCGCGACGCAATCTCCCATCACGAGAACACGCACTTCGCGACACCCCCGTACACCCCTCGTCCCGCTTCGCCTGTGGCTGAGGTTCATCCCCCCGCCCTAAGTCCGGCTGCGTCGATCTACCACACTCAACACAGCAGCCCGGCGGCGTCGACGTCGCAGCTGAACGTGACTCCTATGACTCCTATCACACCCAGGTCGGAAGAGCCTGCGAGTCACCTTGAGGATTCTCGGAATATGCTGCGCGAGCATTTGGACGAGAGTAAGGCTCCAGCTTTTCGCGATCAGGGAATCAAGTATATTGACTTGCTTCTGATAGGTCCCGGACCTCGTCGCCCAAACTTGTCGACGACGAACTCGTCGGCATCTAGCCTACGCTCAGACCGCGACCAGTCCTCACGTCGGCAAAGCCTGGACGAAGACTCGGGGTACGCCTTTGCTTCCTCCCGTGAGGGGAGCCGCATCCGCTCGCCGTCCCCGCACGACGAGCGCGGCCGGAAGCACAAGCGCTTCACGTTCGCCGCCGTCACAAACGTGATGGACTCCGTGCGCGACCGCTTCCGCTCAAGCTCGCCGAGGATGCGCGTTGCGAATTCGAGGGAGCACACCCTGGAGCGGAGCGTCGATCGCGAGGCGGAATTCAGGAGGGGGCGGACGCTGGAGAAGGGCAAGGGGAAGGAGCCCGTGGTTGATGGTGTGGGGCTCATGTCCCCGAGGAAGGAGAAGTCGGCGTTGGGGAGAGTGGGCGAGCTGCTCGGGTTGGAGGAGGAAGACGAGGAGTATGGGGATGGGTGGAAGGAGTTCAAGAAGGGTGAGTCAGTCCCGCCGACCCTCCTTCGCCGATGTTGACGTAGTTCATGCACTCTAGGCACCTACACGTACCCCATCTCCTTCACCATCCCTGCGAGTTCTCCGCCGACGCTCAGATGCGAGTATGGGAGCGTGATCTGGCGCCTCAAGGCATACGTACACCGGCCAGGCGCGTTCAAGACGAAACTCACTGCGTCGAGGGAAGTCACCCTTGTCGCGTGCCCGGAGGAAGATGCCGAGGATACCGAGAACATTATTGTCGAACGACAGTGGGATGATCAATTGCAGTACTTCATCTCGATCTCTGGCAGGACGTTCCACATCGGCGGGACGATGCCGGTACACTTAACGCTTATGCCCTTGGATAAGATCAAAGTATACCGGATATCGATCTTGCTCGAAGGTGGGTTGTGCTTGTTTCTTCGTTTCATGTGCATCTCTGCTGACTGTGTACTGAAGAACGGGTGGACTATCTCGCCAATATGAAGCGCGTGGTTAGAACAGACCCGATTCGCCGGATCATTCTCATGTCCCTCAAGCACGGCGAGAAAGACTGTCCTCCGTTACTTCCCCTCGATTCGGACGATCCCGAGGCATTTAAGAACTCACCTTTGTATGTCTTGCTCAATCCAGAAGACGACGCGTCGGAACTGGCGTCTTCTTTCATGGGTCCGGGGCCGTGGACTCTACACACGGAGTTGCAGCTCCCGAGTTCCTGCGATCAGATCAACTTCACGAACAGGAATAAGAAGAGTAATATCTCCATCACGCATACCCTCAAGATCATCTTCCGGGTGGAGCGGGGCGACGACCAGTTCATTGACCAGAAGACGGGGAAGAGGAAGATGTTCGACATCGTCGTGCAGACTCCGGTCCACATCCTCTCGGTGAGTTCGGTCGCCCGCGATGGACCCGGTCAAACGGGCGCTTACTCTTGCTTATCCAGTGCATGTGCAACCCCGATTGGATAGCGCTGCCCCCGTATTCGGAGAATGCCAACGACATTCTACCCCAGCCTGAGGCGTGTCCTTGTAAAGGCAAGGGCCTGTCACCCAATCTGGATGGAGATGCGTTGGACCTCCCGGGACCATCCCGCCCGTCATCCTCGCATTTCCACCACAACCCTCTCGTGTCTACGTCATCCGCCATGCATCACCCGCTCGAACGCATAGACTCGCGCCGATCAACAGATTCGTCAGAAGAGGGTTCTCGGCCGCCCCATTTACACCACCACTCTCCATCACCGGCCCCGCCGGATAGTCTTGTTGAACGCAATAGGCGATTTGAAAGACTCGTCGCCGGACAGGAGACCGAGCTCGGCGAAGCACCACCTCCGTATCATGAAGTAGCTCGTATTGCATAGATGTATCTTGGACTATATAGACGTTCTTTAGGTGATGGGTGGGGGCTACAAGGATCACTGTAAATTAGCCATAGAAGGAGAGGCTTTCTCTCCATAATATGAAATGAACCGCGTCTCATACATGTACTAACAGTACAGAGTATGTGTCTAAGGGATGCGAAACGCGGAAAAATATACAGGAGTCATGCGCTCATAGTGCTCGTAGGATTGTCGTGTCATATGCGTCCGTCAAGTGGATTTTGTCCTAACATGATCTATGTCGTCTGTCATCACTGCGTCCTCGGGTATATCTGCCATAGGTATCTCCTCCATGTGCCCAGCATTGGGTGGCGGCTGCCGGTATGCGCTTGTACGGCTGACCACACTGCGCAAGCTGCGTTGTTCTGCCATCGTGCCTTCGTCCGGTTGAGCACGGAACTCGGGAGGGATCATGACAGCCCTGTCAATCGCGACTGGGAGACCCCGGTGACGGCCACGTATCATCACGATACATATGATCAACTTGGACAAGGGTCGGAAGGCGCCTGAGAACGAGTAGTTCGCCTGCTAGGAATCAGTTATACTGTAACGAGTATGTTTACTGGAAAAACAGACCGTAGGGAGCCCGAGACTCAGCCCGACAGTGCCATATGCCGAAACTAGTTCAAAAACTAGAAGAGATGAAGTTAATTCGGATAGTTCCACCGTCTCTGGCAATCACTTACTTATTGAGAAGATATTAAACCAAGATTGATTATCCTCAGCATCGATATTATGTCGCTGTGCGAACGTCTCGGACTGTGTAATGCGCCTGTGGAAGTCATGTCACTTACCTCAATGATGCACAACAGAACAAGAGCCAGGCCCAACCACCACATGTCTACTCAAGTATCAGGGACTTGACAACAACGGGAAAAATATGGCTTGTACTGACCGAATGCGAGCTGCTTGCGAGCATGCCATGCCAAGTAGCGGCTCCAGACTGCAACGCGAGGCCCAGTAGTTTGAAATTCCACGTCATTCTCGGATTCGTCGTCTTCTTCGAAGACTCCCAGCGACTGCTCCTCGTATACGTTCGTTGAACGCACACTGTAATCATGAGTGCGAATTACAACGCAACAACTTTTCAAACATACCTCAGGGCGATAGGATCTAAAACACAGGGTAAGGTATACATGTCTTCCCATAGGTGAAAGAATTACTCACAGACGCTGATATACATCATGATTACGTATAGGACCCTGCGTAAGAGACGTGGTGAATCCAAGAAAATGTGACAGATTCGCGGCACGTACTTCACAGCAGGTGCCAGAGCGGACAGCGAAACGGCAGAAAATCCCGCCGCACGCACAGCTGTAGCTTGCAAAAGCCCAACAATCACCCTTGTACCGGCTGGTATGGCCTCGATGACTGGAGTGCCAATGTCCAGGACGAGGAACGACACCCAATCTGTGCAGCTAAAGAGGTGTCAAAACAAGCTAACGTAGCTCACGAAAGCACCGTACGTGAGTGTCACGAGAACAATGAGCAAAAACCAAGTCTGATGCGAAGGAAAGAGGTAGATGAAACATCGACGAGGGTGGTCCAGTAGGAAGTGCAACGTCTCGTTTAACCGTGATCTAGGAGGAACCACTTTTGTCATGGTCCATCTAGACACAAATCGTGAGACTCCATCGCACAGTAGAGAGACTGGACTCACATCATAAGCCGCAGACTGCGTGGCCCATCAATATCAGAAACGCTGAATGAAGGCCAAAAGTGGAATCCACTCACAAAATAGGCTATACAGGTGAACTTAGGATGTGGCCGTGAATTAGAGATAGAGCACTTACGAAGGCGGTATTACCAGCTAAGATAAGAAATATTACAAAAAATATCATTGGATAAGCTGTCTGGAAGGGTATCATAGATTGATCTACGAGGGAGGTTCCCGTATTCGTGTACGCCGAGACGACTTGAAATAATGCAAACCTAGGACAAATCAGGCATTAGTGTTATTAAACACAAAGTATAACTGAACACACCAAGGTGGTGGGAGGTTCCGATGCAAAGCTGGTGGCTTGAAGTCTGAACTCCAACGACTTTCCGACATGTACGGCGCGATGACGATAAAGGAAATGGCCTGGACGCAAATGTGGTACTAGACGCACAGTGAGAATGACTTGTCCAAAACATTCAACCGGGCATAACTCACTACTGGGACGATCCATAGCAAGGCATTCAGAGCTCGGTATTCGACCCCGCCAAGTTCCTCCAGTTCGTCGTTCGTAAGCTCGTAAAAGGCCGAATTACGTCCTACAATCGCGTCAAAGGAGATATAAGGCACTGGTTTGACACCAGCCGGCACTTCCCCGCGCGTTGAAGCAATCGTCTGCGTCCGAGGCATCGTCATCGTGCGGTGCAATTTCTGCTGCACCTCAGGAAAGAAATATCGGAATACACGGGACAGGATCTCGTGTGGCATCGGAAACCCTCCGAATCCGCGATGTTTTGTCCGCACACCAGTGGGGTAGCGAGGGAATGTGTGGCTTGTCGACATTGTGGGGCGTAGCGTGACAGAAGGCCTCCTTCCAGGTCCTGTAGTTTATCACATCACAATTTGAATTTCAAACCCGGTGGAACAACTTACTGCGCTCGTCCTGCGTGTCGGTGGGCTCTATACTCGGCCGTCGGTAAGCAGTACTTTGTTCTGATATGACGGAGGCCCGCCTTCCCCGCTCTCTGTCCACAGACGTGAAGCGTTGCCGACGAGGTTCAGGGGCAAATTCAACGGTCTGTGTCCTAGGCAGGGGATCAGGCTCTCTGGAAGTATATGCCGCCACATTGACAGTCGGGTAGCGACGAAAATTCTCTTCGTTCGCTATACGACTATGGCATGAGCGTATTTCTCATTGCGCTGGAAATGGCCAGGACGAACCGGTCACTGAGGCAGACCTAAATCGGCGAGCCATACCAGGATCGGACAGACGACGTCCTTTCCTGCGTTACTTCTCTCAGTAAGAAAATATGGTTACGAACATGAGTGCAGAAACACCTTGATCTGTCAGGAGTGGTCGCCCCTTCCGTCTGCTCCTCATGATGCTCTGAGCTACTTGAACTTATGGTGGAGCTGCGGTCTGGACTAACTGACGGCCGGTCCGCGAAACTGAGCTGATGATTCTGACCTTCGGTCTGTACCTCCCGTGTATCTACAGCTGGGCCTCGCGCAGGGGTGTGCAGCGTCGACTCTGTCCGGCCCTCACTTATCCACCCGCTGGGATCCACCAGCTTCGGCGCGTCGTCCATTCTGCGTATCATGTCCGTCCGCAGCTTTTTCACTGAGCTCGGCTTGCGCTCCTTCGGCGTGCTCTCCTCGCTCTCCTCCTTCACCGAGGTCAGCCGCTTGCGCCGCCGGAGCATGTTAACCATTTTGCTGTGCCAGGGTATGATGGTCGCCTCGACATCGATCTTCACTTTCGTGCGCTTCGCGGCCTCCGCCTCGACCATGTGTTCGAATGTCTTGGCAAAGAAATACCTGCGGTCAGCGGGAATGGTTTCAGTGTCCATTTAATATCGGGGGGTCGTCGGACCTCACCTCCGTATATAGACCATTACCCACGACACGAGCACCTACTGAGTTATTAGCAAGCAGCAAATATTGTGGAGTGGCTACGTACGGGGCTCCCTAGACACATCTGAATGAAGAGAATGGCCTGTTGCCATCCTGTTAACTGGCTGAGATCCACCGTCGCAAGTCCACAGACTGCCATGGCACTGATGCAGTTGAAGAGCGCATCGATGTATGAGATCGGATACTCTCCATTGCTTGCGTACAGAATGCCGGAAAATAGGATAGGCGTAAAGGTGCTAGATGCAAGACTTAGTCTCTGTTACTCGAAAGAAAGTAGCATACGCACAAGACGATGAGATGAACCCGATAAAAGTTCAGGTGACTCCTCAGATACCTCCAGAAGTCTTTCTTGGGCTGATCCTCTGCCTTCGGAAGGGTGTCGACTCGCGATTGCATTATAGGGCTCCTCGGTCAGAACTCCTGCCTGCAGAAAGGGGCAACAGCGACCCAGGTCGGACTCTATGCGCTGCGAGGATCAACGCTGCTCTCCAAGGCGTTCCGTGCAGATATTCAGCCAGCAAGCAGTCCTAAGAAGTCATTCGCGTTCACACAGCAGATTCATATACGGCGCAACTGGTAAGGCCGGTGGCTGAACTAGGCAGTCAGCTTTCGAACGTGTCTCCACTTGCCAAATCGGTCCGAAATAGCAGGAATAGCCAATTGGCTTGTGATTATTAGGGGGGGGAGGGCGCTCCATCGTCTGACCGCGGATGTTGTCGATGAAGGGGACGCTAGAGGACGATGGGCCTAGTATAAAAGTCGCGATGGAGGTCGAGAAGAAGTCGTGCCATGCTCTCGATGACTCCGACGCCTGCGATCCCCAGTTTTCTGTCCACGCGCCTCATGCGTCCTATTGCCACACCCCGATTATGTGTTTGCCGGATGATGACTCGAAACCTGAAGGGACGAAGACGTGTTGCGATACTGGATGCGCGTAAAGCGTCTAGAGTAGTGCAGAATATGCGGCGAGCCTCCTCAGACATAGCAAGCGCTTACCCGAGGAGGTTGGGAGGGGGCCAGGGTATGGTTAGCAGACCTTCAAGACAGCACGACATATTTATACCTTTTTGCTGCGTGGCTAACTGTCTCTCGACCTCTCGTAGCGTGATCACTCTGCGCTTGCGATAAGGTGAGCTCTTATTGCTAGTTGTCAAGCTTCCTCTGACTTTCGATTCTGCTCAGAACGTGCGAGGTACATTTTGGCGCCTTCAAAGGCCGCACAGGCTTCCAAACATGACATGTCCATGCAGTGACACCTATGCATCATCGGCTCTAAATATTGCGAGTAACTTAGCATACCTCGCGAGTCTCCTCGTTGGGTACCCGCTTCTGGAGGTTGTCTCACTGCTTATAGGCTGCATCGCCGGAATAAGCGGCGGACTTTGCTGTGCCACCGGAAGCTCAGCCAGAGCTGAGATCGCCCGGGATCATGGCTCTCCCAGGTACGACCAGCCGCGATATGATACGCCACACAGTCCTCTTTTAGTTCGCTGTATTCATGGTTGACAGGGCCAGCCAGCTACCTCGTACGAAGATAACTCCTAGCGTTGGGCGTTGCATCGAATCCCTGATCTCATTTCATTCGTCTGATAGCGTCCTACTGGCTTGGCGCACACAGGGCCTGCAGCGATGCATGGTATTCAGAAGGATAAATTGGCAGTACTCTGATATGGAATGAATGCGGTACAACTTTATGGTACTCAATGTCGGCGGTGAGTCAGACATGCATTGATGTATTATCCTTGCCGTCTCGCAATTACAGGGCGTCACAATTGGACAACCCCGACTCAGTGCGGCGGCTGGAGCCACAGAGGGCTTGGGCCGAAAGGGCAGGAGACTAAGTAATAAGCACCCAGCACTGCCCTGGGTCCCGCGGTGCTGCAGCAGAAGTGCGAGCCAGTGGTTCTGGCAACGGTTTCCAAGGTCTACGACATTTAGACGTGTGCTGAATATGTTCAATGAGACCACGCATTTCATCTCCTGAGGGTATCGTATGGGAAGATAGAGAGTGTGGATGGTTAGGTTCAACTTCCGATGCTGATGCTGATGCTGAAACCACTGCAGTCCACGTCTCACCCGAATTTAGAATTGTGCAAATGCGCTGCGAGATGCCCAACATTGTCATGGTCTAGGTTTCCGATATACATGACAAGTGGCCAAGGCGCTGCCATATGCCACAGCTGTGCTGCTGCACAATGCGGTTCACGGAACGAGTCTCACAGAAGTCGCCTCCTACTTCGAAATCTTCAGCAAAGACAAGCAGGGAATAAAGGCCTCTGTCAGGCTTCCAGGGCATGCCGGTGGGGAGTCCACTAGTACAGTGCCACGCCTGTCACTGTCTTTCATGACTAGGGGAAGTCCTTGAGAGAACCCACCATCCAACGACTCCTTTGAAGTCAGCCTTCTTCAGCTGCGCACTTCTGTGTTCAAGCTCTCGTCGTGGGACAGGAAAAGGTGCAGATAGAGGAGATTAATGGAGGCTTGTACAAGGATAGAAGCCTCAGCGCGCCCCGGCGGGGGAAATGGAAATGCACCACCCAAGTAGTCATACCTCCAGCAACCTCTACAATGCTCCCCAAGAGCCTACCACTGTCATGCAGAGATTGCCATCATGAATCCCGGGGTAATAAACGTGCCCGTAACCAAGGAGTCGATAACTTGAAAGACGTGACTTAGGTAGGTGGCGGGACTCTTTCTCGTTGCTCCTCAGTGCTCAGTCCATGTCTTTACCTAGGGAAGTGCGCAGAGTTGGCATGTTTCGTGAAGTCTACACTAGTATGGCTCCAGGAACCCCGGGATAGATGACGATGGGCAAAATGCGGTAAGCGCATGTGACATGCCCAAGTAGAACTGAATGAGGTATGCCATCGCTTCTTTTGTTCATCCGACGCAGCAGATTATGCCGTTAGGTGGACCGTGACAGCGGCATACCTACCGCTGGGGCAGAACATGCCATCTGAGCTACCGCCCAATGTGGGGGAATGGGTGTCGCTCGCGAGCCGACACCTATAGAGCCATCACACAAGGGAGTTAGGACATGAAATAAAGAGGGCGGAGCGCTTTCATTGAATACATCATAATACATTTAAACATTCTGATCCTAGCTTTAGCATCACAAGGCCAATGCCATGGACATACAGGAAAGCACTATAAATGGCAAGGGCCAGCAAAAAAGGATGTTGATGAGCGAGAGAGTCAGAAGAAGCGCTGGCTCAGACAACAATGAACACATTCATCCACGAAGCTGAAGGGTAATAGTCAAGGAGGTCCGGCCAGTTCCGGAACCCCGTGCCTCCAGTTTGCTCGATTAGAGGTGGCTTCACTGGCTCTGACATGACACGGCAAGGCGGGAGGATTCTTGGGCCAACCAGCTAGCATACGGAACCTTGGGACTGCTGGTGCTCTGAGAGCAAGTCCGCGAGGTGTTGGCCCAAGCAGAGACATCGCCCTGTTACCACCGAGACGAACATGGTGGGTAGCCATCAGAAACAGTGGATTGTTTACAAAGACTTGTATATCCTTCATAACTGTTGAAAAAATACCGCGAGGCCATATAGTGCTCTGAAGAATGGCCATGTGAGCCCACACTTCGGTGCAGGCCTTATTAGCGGCCTGCCACACGGAGCCTTGCTTGTGCACATAACCCAAAGCGGTCAGGAAGGCGCAGATCTGCTTGTAAATAGCGGCTACAAGACATATCAGTGAACTGGGCCATCACTCCTGAGGCGAGAGCATGGCTGAAAGCTCACCGCGGCAGCAGTTCCACCCGTTCGGGGCATCATGTTCTATGGCTCGAGTGTCTAGGTCGTACAAAATGCTGTACATAGTATGGACCAATTGGGGAAGAGCGAGAACTGCAGCCGTTGGGTTCAAGTTGGGCGGATGGAGATGTAGAGGATTGTTCATAGCTAAACTGCGCGCAAGCGTTGAGGTGTCTGGTGTGGTCATCCTCGAAGCTCAAGCATCAGCTTTTATTGCCACTGCGGGGCCCTAGTCATATCTGCGATCAGCTTCCTCCACTTCTCTGCAATCAGCGAGACAATTGCAAGTGCAGTGGTTAGCACATATGGATAATGCCTTGCATTGTGTGAGTCATGGCAGCAACCCTTGGCCCCTTTGAATGTGCTCCATTTGTACAAATGGTTGCTAACGCGTGCATCTCAAAAGATTGGCAGAATCAGGATTTCAAACCTGATAGAAATCATAGGACCCACAAGTGCATGCTGGAGCCTGAGGACCCCAGATAATACAGATAGTCACGAATGGGTTCGGTGCCAGTGGCGCAGAAGGCCATGTGTATCGAAAATATTATCAAGCATTTGAAAAGGCAAGATAGCCCTTTTGGACAGTCCTTGAAAGTTCGGGGTAGGAACTTGTTCCCGTTGATATGCACTGACACACAACAATCACCAAGGACCAAAAGGAATAAACCTAAACCCCGTGATATGGGTGAAGGCGGTCCGAGACAACCGAAGGGTATTTAATAGTTCGAGGGGGAAAGGAGGAGTAAGACGCCGTAGGGTAGTCCGTAGGAAGACCTAGAAAAATAAAACAAAAACCTTGATGCCTGAAACAAACACTAATGGACGCTCCGGAGTATTTATCTCCGGAAAGTCGCAAACAAAGTTGCAAACCACGGAACTGAGTGTAGGTTCGGGCCCACGGGAGTAGAAAACGCTAAAGGGACTTGTTTAATTTTTATTTCGCTACGTGAGACGCACCAGAGCTAATTGAATCGATGGCGGAGATAATTCACTCGACGAGTCAGGCCTATTGGCAAAGCTAAGATCGGTTATAATTCGCTAAGTTCGACGCTTTCGAACTTCTCGGGTCGCTGAGATCGTAACGCTAATTCTCTGAGATGGTGAAGTCGAAACTTGTTTTTCTGTACGCTACTTTGTACAATTTATACTACAGGAATGGCTTTGCGACCGTCCGGAGATAAATAACAAATAAACGCCGCTACCCACAGGATTGCTCAGCACTTTCCTCCGCTATACCATACACCATACGACTCCCTTACACTCCTACTTGCTCATTCCAGCCCTTATAGGTCGCCTTGACGCTCCGCCACCTGACCCAGGCGGTCCCATCACTCCGTGCGACACGCCGGTCACGTGTTAATTACCTCCGGCCGTTTGCTGACTGATGCTGACCTTATGGTGACTTGTATGCGTCCGCACCTTCGGTATCTTGACGGAAACGAGGGGGAGTGAGTGCTGGAGGGTGGGCATGAGGACGACGCCCCTCGATAGAAGTTCCCGCGGGCCCCGGAGCTAATTCATCTAGACGTTGCATTGGTTAAGTCGCTCCAGAGCTCCTGTTCGCGGAGATAAATCGTGGAATGGGTCCGTGTACGCCTCAAGGATGTTAGGAAGTCCGGAGCTAAACACAGAGCAAGTCTTTAGAGCCCATAGAAGCCTAGAGGCGTGTGAGTGCTGTGTCGAATAAGCTCCGGAGGGCTTGTACGATGCGCTGAGTCCGCGTTTTCGGGGGTCAGACAATCCTGAGGCTTATCACCGTATGACACGCAGGTGCCTGCCAACGTCCGCAATGGGGTGTAAGGTCAGCACCTGACCAGAAGAACACCTATGCCACTGGGTCAGACAAAGCCTATTCAATAGGCTTTGTAAGTCGAGACATTTGTTTAACCTACCCCGGTATGCGAAAGAAATTAGAGGAGAATTTAAGGTTAGCTTCAGGATGTCAATCATTGATTGGCCAGCCCCTCAAGGATAATGTGATACATGCGTCTCTGCCATTCTGGTGACACTTAAACATCTTCAAGTGTTCCAGTGGTAGTTACCTTCAGGCTACGCATCACAGGGCTGCCTTTCTGGAGGAAAAGTCACTGCTGCCCCTTTCTTGCAGACAGGATCTCCCCGACAAAAATTGTACAAATACATACCTGAGCTGGGTAGGCATTTTGGAACAGATTTGACTGTTTCCTTGCACCACCAAATTTCAGCGCAGACAATCTCCTCTGTTGGGATTACCAAGGTTCAAGGGTCCTGGTGACGGAGTGCGGCTTTCTTTCTCTCCGCAATCGGAAAGACAATACTATGTAGCAAGTACAATGGCAGATTGGATGCATACACGAGAATCTGAGTCACCGTGATGATGACTCCAAGAAATGGAAGAGAATCTACCAGCCATTCAGTCAGTGATAGAGATTGAAGGACCCACAAGCTACTACAAGCAAACTTACTCACGAAGATGAATCAGAGTCAGAGGTGCAATGTGGGGCAATTGTTCAGCACTTCTGATGTCCTTGTTTGGGTAGCTTCTGCCACGCGCTTCCTTCTCGTCCAATTTGCATCAAACTGCTATTATTCATCCCATGTTCTTCACTGAAAGCTTGAAAGACATCCTATTCCCAGTATAGCACTGCGTCCCATCACTATTTAAACGGCGGTCCTGTGCGCTTGGTGCTACATTTCACTCATCCTCCCCTGCACAGCCTTTTGGCACGAACGTCCAGACATCCATAATGTCCCGCCGAAACAGCCGCTCTTGCTCCCACTTTACACCTGCAGAAGAAGAGCACATTGCTCGGGTGTTCCAGTGGGACTTAGCCATCAAGAGGCACACTTACTGCCACGCCCAGGCACGCTTGACAAACGAACAAAACAAGCAAGCGCACACTGAGGGCAACCGGCTCTTGCAGTGGACGGAGCCCTATAAGATCTGGGGGAGTGGTGGCAACCACGTCCTTTATATGACAGACCTCCCACCAGAGTACTTCAAAGTGGTCGACCTCGCAGCAACAGTACCGGCATCACCGACACAGAACCCGGCAGAGTGAGTTGACCATCATATAACCCTCCACGTTGAGGTACTATATGATTAATGCTGATAAACACATCAGACGATGGATACTAGTCATCCTGTTACTGTATGCTTTACAGGCCTACGGGAACAGTGTTGTCACGGTCAGAGTCACAACTATGACGACGTACCAAGTCAATTGAGTAATTACCGAATGACGGGGAAATTACACTGACGGTCTTTACGTCTGAGCCCTTTGATGTGGCGTGAGAAATAACTCATATGGGCGTCGGGATTGCCATATATGTACCAGTGGTGGCTGAAGAAGTATTCGGCAATATCACACAATTTATTGAGAGTCACTCGGGGGCGGCGGGAATGACATAGAATATTAGAGGGGATATTGTGTGTTCAGAGCTCTCCCTTAACCACCACTACACTCACAATGCGGCCCAAGCATGAGTCCTGGCAATATTTCTACTCTGATGGTTCAGCTTTCAGTTCAAACAACAATCATAAACGTGCCTGGTGTCTTGGCTGCCTGAGGCTCAGCATCGAGCAGCTGAAAGATGCAAATCGCGAGCCTGGAGCAGCATCTAGCCTCTCAAAGTCGGAGGAACAGTGGCGGTCAGAAGGTGAGAGCATATAGCTTTGAGTGGCGAGACAGTAACTCACCGTCGGTAGCCCTGAAATTTGTCAAGCCACTTGAGGGTCGCAAGACAACACTGTTGAATCATCTAAAGTCATGCCCAAACGTCAGCACTGATGTAAACCAATGGGCCGGGGCAGCCAAAGGGAATACAATGAACAAAGAGAACAACTCACCTGTCGACATAGCCGAGAGCCCAACGAAAACGCCACGCAGGCCGCCTATAGGTCAATTCACCTTCCGGACACCCGACATCTCCTCTCCTATACACCGTGCTAGTGCTTCACAGCAAGCAATGCATGCCCGTAAATCTGCTGATGAGACACTGCCACCTGGAAAGAAGCAGAAAGTGTCAGTCACTCGTTCACGGCCAATTACCGTCCGCCAGCAGCCGCAGTGGACTTCTGAGCAGCAGGAAGAGTTCGCGCGCGATCTCTGTTGACTCTTCATCAGCTGCGACATCTCATGGAACACCGCAAACAACATCGAATTCGAGAAGTTTATAAAGAAGTACATACCCCAGGCCAATGTACCAGATCGTCGAGTTCTCGCGGGTCGTGTATTGAATGCTGAACTTGCTCGGGTCGAGAGCGTGACGAAACTAGAGGTTAACGGCAAGTTAGCGTCAGGGCAAGGAGATACATGGAAGACAATAAGTAAGGTGTCGTGCCAGGCAGCTATGATGGCAGTTGAAGGAAAGGTGAGTATGCTAGTCGCCTTTGTCCGGATGAGTGGTGTTAACAGCAACTCAGATGCACCTTATAGCTACCCATGACATCTCCGGGGAGAAAAAGACGGCCGATAACTTATTGGCACTCACTGAGAGGGACATAGATCAGATGGAGGCAGAGACCGGCGTCGAGTTCATAGCGTGGTGTACAGATGCCGGGGGAGACTGTAATAAGATGCGGAAGATGTTGGCAGCACGAACGCCGCATATTCTTACGCCGCCATGCTTTGCACATCAGGTACATGACCACTGGCACTGGTCTCGGGTTGCACATCGCGGGGACTCACCAACGGTAACCAGCTAAATCTACTTGTGAAAGACTACTACAAGCTTGACGCCAAATTCATGAAGACATCCAACAAAGCTTTTGAGGTTGTGAAATGGATCAACAACCATAGTCAAGCATTAGGACTCTTTAAGGGCGAGCAGCGGAGGCCGCGGGAAGGCGCAGCATCGCTCGTGCCTCTCGCACTATTACTCCCGGCGATAACGCGCTGGACATATCATTTCCAATCATTCGCGCGGCTCCTTCGAGTCCAGAAACCGTTGCGTACCTGTGTTATTGAGCATCGCGATGATCTCGTGGTCTGCGCGGGCAATCGCGCTGCTATGCGCACCAAGGCATTGGAGGTAATCGGATTAGTCGAAGATCATAGTGGTTTCTGGCAAGATCTTGCACGGTACGTCGAGGTAACGTGAGTTTGGACAGCGGAAATACATACTAATGATAATTAAAGGACGACACGTCACCTGGAGCCACTGGCTATCGGAACTAACGTCCTCCAATCCAATCACGCGCGCCTCGACACTGTCCTCCTTACTCTCGCCAACCTGTACCGGATCTTTGGTGATCCGGATGTTGAACTATCCGTGAGTCTACACATGCGCAAGTGCATTGATGCTCGTTGGATGGCGGTAGAGCCCGAGCCTTATATCCTGGCCGTATTTTTCAACCCCTACATCAGGAGCAAGATCTTTAAGCCCGAGAATACGGCCCTTACCCCGCTCGCACTCTATAACATGGCCGAAAGCATGTTCCGGCGCCTGTTCTGTAAAGAGCCCGACCTAGAATTCATGGATGCGTTCTACGATTACCACGCGGGAGAGCGGGAATTCGACCCTCAGTACATGCAGCTAGAGAAAACAAGACTTGCATATGAAAGAGAGGTTCATGGGCCTTGTTATATTTGCGTCCGAATCTGCTGACAGTGTTGCAGCACAAGGCCATCGACTTGGTGAGAATCTGGAAGTCCCTGGATCAGAGAAAGCTGGAAGGTCGGAACATGCTCGTGAAATTGGCTATACGACTACTCAGCGTTATTGCAAACTCTGCGGGTTCCGAACGGTTGTTCAGCTGCCTCGGTATCATTATAAGCAAGATCCGTAACCGCCTAGAGCTAGGGAAAGCCAACAAGATGGCGAAGATCAAAGCAAATATGAAGGATGAGCAAGAACGCAACGGCTTAGCACCGCGGCGGCGATTGAAGCGGAAGTTCCATCTCTGCGACGATTCAGAGCATTATGGGCCATCGGCGTCGGGAGGTACCTCACTTGATTCTAGTGCTCCCACTCAGCCCTGCCCTCCAGGATCATCTAGTTCTCCCGGCGACACTACGTCTTCACCTTCGGCGACAGCATATGAAGACTTCGACATAGTAGAAGGCATCCCGCTGTCCCGGATCCTAGACGGCATCGCTGATGATGACTCATCGCTGGATGGTGAGCGCGACGCAGATGAACGCATGCTGGGCTCGCCACTTGCGACTTCCTCCCGTGGCGGTCACAACGCGACACCTGCTCCTACGTCGCAGTCAGCGATTCATGGGAGGGAGTGCTTTAGCCTCAAGAATCTATTCCGCTATGATCTCGACAATGAACAAAGAGCAACTACACTCGAGTTCTATTGGAAAGGCGGTATAAGGTCATTGGAGGAGGAGCTAGCATTATATGATCTGCTTGCTGAAGAGCAAGAACAGCAGGGAGATGAACTTCGTCCATCTGATGGCACCAGCCCATAGTAGTAGTAGTATTTACTCTGACATAGGACGCGATAAAGGGCACAGTAGTCATTTAGTCATTCCCACGGTATTAACATAGTAATTACTTCGTCACTGACAACACTGTACGGGAAAGCTATTGATGACAATTCAGGGCATATGACCTTTGAAGCCTCCAACCGCAGGTATGCTCTCAAATCTCGGGCTGGGAACACTTTGCCGTTGATTACATGATAAGCCGGGAACTCGTAATCAAGCAGGGCATGTGGGACACCCCATTCTTCAATGGTCTCGTGAACTCCGGTGCGCCAGCTCAGCCAACTTCCAAGGTTGGGCCCGATCTGCTACTGCGCCACATCCGCCTCATAGACCGACAAGTTTATGAAGTTGCCGACTATATTCATAGTGCCATAAATGGAGTGAGTTATACCCTTTGCCATTATGAGGGCAACAGGGTGGTAGAAGAAAAATATTTGGAGGAGGCGAGCCTTGAGGAGCAGCTTTTGGAGGTCCTGCCTGATGCCTAGCACCTATCGCATTTCATAGCAGCCCTCTGCCGGCGTGAATGATTTGGATGCCCTATGCTTTCCACTCAACTCTCTAATATAGCTTTGTATGGTGCTGTTCGTGTTACATCCCTGCTACAGGTTCCCATCATACAAGAGTCATTGTTGTGGTAGTGGCTACACCATGGCACTTTGCCCAGGATATGTATATATGTTTCTTTGTTTTCGACGTAGTCCTTCCATCAGTAAGTACGCAGATGTATCCTGTGATCTCCATGTTCGAGTTAGCTTCTTCTAAGGCTGCTCCAGGAATGATTAGTAATTGACACCACAAACGAAAGCCGGCCTTCCAAATACTTATCCGATGCTATAGAGACTATACCTTGTGTCAAGCGTGAAACGAATTGGGCATTGAGATTGATTGTAGAAAAGCAGTCCTCCTTCGGCGAACAGCCGGTAGCCTTTGTGGCGATCGAGGGCATCTTCTCTGGATTTTTTACTTCGGTTTTCTGGCTGAAGAAACATGATCTTGTGCCCGGCCTTACATTCAGTGGTCACGGTGATGAAGCCATGCACAAGGAGTTTGCTTGTCGACTTCGTATTCCCCTCGGTGGACGGTCACATCCAGAAATTGATGGGATACACAGTACTTATGCTTGACAAGGAGGTAAGCAATCTCCCCAGCTTGATACTTATGTTGCTACCAGGTGAGGACAAATGCATGATATACGATGGCCTGTCACTGTGTCAGTGGAAGGGAATTCTGATTCCTTCCCACCCGTTCTACTGCCAACTTGAAATGTTAACAAGCACTCCATCACAGATGGAATACCTCCAGTCTCTTCTGGGCATCCTTCAGCAGAGATAACGCTTTGGAGAAACTGTTGCCTCACTAATATTGGCTGGCCTCTCGATTTGGCGTTTACGGGTACTTGACTGTGGCGGTGGCGTGCCCCGAGAGTGACATGTCGAAACGAGTCTACGAGCTCGTCAGCTACTGTGTGCTGCAATTTCCTGAAATGACAATGAAATACAAGCGTAATAATTGAGGAGAAACATAACGCTGTAGTATCAAAAATGCGATGATACCTCATGTACACTTCTCGATTCCCGATTTGGAAGCGGCACTACTAAATGCGGACAGAGTACACTTCCAAGATGTCCGACTGTCTTGCTTCCCCGTACCCTTGTATAAGTACTGAGACAGTCTGGCGGTCCTCTCTCAGACCTTACTCTCTCCTTTACCGCCAACCCCTTGCTCGGCGTGGCACTTTCGTCTGACAACGGTTCACACAGCTATAATGGTACCGGATTACCTTCAATGGTATCATCAATTCTCGTACCTTTGCGAGTACTAGCGTATGTGTCTATCTATCGACCCGGAATCGATCTGTGTTCTACTAGCAGGACCGTTCGGCTGGGGTCTGGATAACAGAGAACTTCCCTGATGCATTCGGGATTCCCAGTACAGTCCTGACAAGAGTTACTCAACGTCAAGTGTCGTATACGAGTATGAAGGTAACTGACCACAAGTCCGCCGCCGTATTATGATCCGTTGTACATCGGTCCTGTTCCCGGGTCGCGCTAACCAAGCTCGTCTATCCATACGCCTTTAGGCTGATGAGATTCAGCCACATTGGTGCTGTCGAGCCTGGAGTAGCGCTGCCGCCTGCGAGGCCCTAAGGCAGGTTGGACTGGCCAATCCAAAGATTATTGCTTTGGGTGGCTGTGCCTCCTCGGGGAATGGCCAATGGCAGCGTTGCCGAATGTGGTCGCTTCAAAGACGGCGTCCCGATTCCCCTTTCGGACGTCACGGAGCCGCGGCCCGTGTGCCATTCCGCCCCGCATTCTGGGAGTAAATGTACACCCACTGCACCTCTCCCGCCACCTTCACCATCGCCCGCCATGTCGACCTCCGAGCGTATGATCTCTGGCAAAGAGGTTGCCAAGCACAACTCGAGAGAGAGCTGCTGGATTATTGTCCATGGTTAGTAGTGTTCAGTTCTAGCAGGGACTCGGAGGTGGAGGTTGATTGGGTTGAATAGGGAAGGTTTACGACGTCACGGATTTTCTGGATGGTGAGTAGTACATGAAGGCCTACGCATGGAAGGGAGGCTAAGCATGAGTTGCTTCCACAGATCACCCTGGTATGTCAGTGTTACCAGCAGCAGTGTCCGGGTCTGACAGGATTACCAGGCGGGAGCAAAATCATCCTGAAATATGCAGGGAAGGATGCAACGTGCGTCCCACAGTTCTGTCGGATTGACATCATATTACTCATGTCGTCACAGCGAGGAATACGACCCCATCCACCCGCCAGATGCTATCACAACACATCTAAAGCCGGAACAGCAGTAGGTAACTTGTAAGGCCTCGCTTGTATTCAGTTCTGAGCGTGTCACCAGGCTCGGCAGCGTCGACTTGAACACCGTGGAGAAGGTTGAGGTCACCATTTCAGATGCGGAGAAAGCTCGGCAAGAGCGGCTGAACCAGCGGCCATCCCTCGACGAGATCCTCAACCTCCACGATTTCGAGGTACGTTTCTCTCCTTTCCCATCCTCACTGCAAGTGCACTTTGATTTGACCTTATTGGTGAGTAGACCATCGCAAAACTCGTCCTGACGGAGAAAGCCTGGGCTTATTACTCGTCGGCGGCTGATGACGAAATTACGAACCGAGAAAACCACGCTGCTTACCACCGGATATGGTTCAGGCCTCGGATCCTGCGTGATGTCACTGCTGTCGATTATTCGACGACTATTCTGGGATGCCCGTCAAGTATGCCTGTGTACATCGTGAGCTCCCTGCCGTTTGCACGTCGGTTGCATTTTAAACCCCCTTTGTGCCTCGATCATAGAGCGCTACGGCTCTCGGAAAACTTGGGCATCCCGATGGTGAGCTGAATTTGACCAGGGCAGCAGCCAAGCACGGCGTGATCCAGATGGTAAGCAGGCCAGGGTCGCGGTATATATCAATTTAAAATCTGAGATCCGTTCCCTCTCAGATCCCGACTCTCGCGTCGTATGGCTTTGATGAAATTCGTGATGCTGCCGCGCCCGGACAGAATCAATTCCTCCAACTGTCAGTGATGACCTCGCGCAATTGACATTGTATTGAACTGACGTTCGTGTATCACAGATATGTCAACAAGGATAAGGCTATCACGAAACGGATCGTACAACATGCTGAAGAACGGGGTATCAAGGGTTTGTTCATTACAGTCGATGCTCCCCAGCTTGGTCGCCGCGAGAAGGTATGCCCCATCTCACATCTTCGTGGGTGATTTGCTAACGATGGTACCGTAGGATATGAGGCAGAAATTCGATGCTGAGGATCCGGATAATGTCTCAAGTAGCGGACAGTCTGGCAATGTCGACAGGTCGCAGGGAGCTGCTCGCGCCATCAGCGTAAGCATGATACTCCGGTGATATTGCAAGGTGCTTACTGTCCCTTCATCAGTCATTCATCGACCCCGGATTGAACTGGAACGATCTCAAGTGGTTCCAAAGCATCACAAAGAGTACGTACTCTAACCCTCGGTAGTCAGTAGTATCCACAGCTAACCCCCAACCCAATTCCAGTGCCCATCATCCTCAAGGGTGTGCAATGTTACGAAGATGCACTCGAGGCGTACGACCAGGGCTGCCAGGGCGTTGTCCTCTCGAACCACGGCGGGCGGCAGCTCGAATTTGCGCGCTCAGGCATCGAGGTGCTCGTGGAGGTTGTAACGAAGTTCAAGGAGCTCAGGGACATCACCTTCCCCAACGAGAAGTTCCAGCTGTTTGTCGACGGTGGGGTAAGGAGGGCGACGGATGTGCTCAAGGCTGTGGCGTTGGGCGCGACTGCTGGTGCGTTGTGTTTGCTCTGGATGGGATTTGGGAGTGTTGTTCTGATGCGGGGTGGATAGTTGGTGTCGGACGGCCGTTCATCTACGCGTTCTCTTCATATGGGTACGAGGGAGTCAGCAAGGCACTGCAGATCCTCAAGGTATGACTTCCTACGTGAGCCAGCGATGATCTGTATTGAGACAACCCATTTAGGACGAGTTCGAAATGAACATGCGTCTCCTCGGCGCTCGCAACCTGAAGGAGGTCGTCCCTGAAATGGTCGATGCACACAACATCCACCAGCACGTCGTGGCCGTGCCAGGTGACCGGTTGTACGACTCGAACTGTAAGTATCTCCCCCCTGCTGCGTCCTGAGTTTTGTGAGTATGAAACTGATGACGGTCGCGTGTAGATGAGAGCATGCAAACGGCTCGGCTTAAGGAGGTCAAGGCTAAGCTATAGAGCTCCGGATATACCGATTCAGATGTCTTGGATACCAGTACCACCTTTTATGCTTTCAATAGTACGAGCTAGTTTCACGGATATGTATGACTGTACGACTTCAGCTTGTATCTCGACGACTCTTCGGAATTGTCGGTACACTGGCAAAAACCCACTTATCCCACGATAAGCAAGAGGTTTACCAAACCGGGGCACCGTGGACGGACCGCCGCTCGCAATGCCTATCAGTCACCAGGCTCCTAGAACCATCCGTCTCGCGTCCTCGATCCTCTCTGCTAGGGCGTGTGTGAAGATGTTATCTAATATGGCTTATATAATGTAATTTATTTATAGCTGTGTTTCCTGATTAAGCCGAACGGTGAGGATGAGGACGCTATGAGACGGCTGGCCCAACTCGTCGTCCGAGGTTTCACCGGAATTATGTAAGTTAGCTAAGCGACTAACGACGCGTCGGTTTACTGTTGGTTTATTGACGTTCGTCGACTGCCCGATTCGGATTGAGGCTTGCTCTTCGAGCATGTCCTCTGCTCATCCGCGCATTGACGGCGTCGTGGACTTAAAGATGTCCATATCAGAGTAGTGCTATATCTGTATTATTGATGACATGCACGTTCACCAACTGCACTGGGAACATCCCAATTCAACAAACAAAACAATGAATGACTATTTACCACAACAGTCTAGATAGGGGAAGCTGCTCTGGTCTCTCTCTTTCTCTTTGCATACCAAAGCCAAAGGAGACTAACTACACACACAATATTATAAGGTCTCAGGCTACTCTGCAATGAAGAACTTGGTGCTTGGACTTTGCATTGTATGTAAATTAATCTATTCATCGAAAATATAGCAACAGACCCCTAGACACTCGCGCATTATTGTTTCACTATCGAAGAAATGGCTTGCTATATTACCGTCAGATTTTATCCCCGTCCCCCCGCCGTCAATGCGCGGA